TGTTCAAAACACAGACGCCTGCCCGTCTGGAAAGTAACCCAGGGAAAGTTGCAGGAAGTTTGGGATATGCACGAAGGAAGCTTCATTTTCAGAGTCGGAACGCCCACAGGACGGCCCTTCCTAAACGAATAGGAAATGGATTTCACTTGCTCTCAGTTCACACGCACCCGCGTGAGGAGAGGGGCTGGAATAGCGCCTCGGGAGTGAGGTTCTGGGAGAGAGGGTCGCTTTGTGCGTCATTCAGAACCACAGTGTCTTGTCATGAAGCACGGCAAGTACTTAGGAGTGACTGGTGGGAGCCAGTTCATTCCGATAGAGCACAGAAGTAACTTTCTTTCCCCTGTCGGGCGGTCCTGCTCATGTGTCTCCTTAGGTGAGTCCAAACCTCCCTGGAGGCTACTCTTGGTCCTCAGATTCCCGCGTTTAGGAAAGTCCTAATGAGCCATGGAGAGGCCGTCCGGCTTAGTGGGGGCCGGTGGGGGGTGGGGGGGACGGGGGGCCAAGAGTGCTCTGAGCCAGACATGTTCTTAAATTGCTGAACATCAAAGTGGAGGCAACGCCGCGTTCTTACAAGATGCGAGGACCACGTCCCTCTAAGGCAGCCCTTCACGGTCCCGATCACCCTCCAGGAAACAACATCCTGGCTGACCCCGCAGGGACCCACGGCCGCGCCAGGAGCCGGGGGCAGGCGTGGTGTGAGGACCCGGCGCCCAAGGGCCCTCAACCCGCTCCCACTGCTGGGCCGAGCTGAAACGAGGCGCGAGTGGCCAAGTCAGCCACGCTTGACCCAGACAGGAGGGCCCGGGGGCTCTAGAAACTTCCAAGGCACCTGGCTGTGCCCTGTGTCCCCTGGGTGACGTGCCTGCTCCGGCCCCGGGTCTGACCCCACCTTCAGGTGCGGGTGGGAGAGAGCAGGGAGCCATGTGCCCCGAGGAAGGCCCTATTGTAACGGGGTGAGGGGCCCTGGACAGTAAGAAAGAAGGAGCAGGGCCGGGCAGGCCGCCCGCCTGTCCCTGGTCCCGGCCCGGCTGCCCCACGGGCTGCTGCTGAGACGATGCCGGGTTGGGAGGCAGGCGAGCCGGGCAGGGGCCGAGCCGGGCAGGGGCCGGAGCTCACCAAGGGCCGCAGGGCCGGGTTTGTGTTTTAATTCTTGCCTTTGAACACCAGAGGGAGGAGCAAGGCAGAGTTCTGTGCTGCTCACCAAGCCGATGGGTCTGGGGAGAGCAGCCGTGGCCACTTCCCCGGCCGCCCGGCAGGCGTTCACGTCACTTTACCGCCTGGGGTTTCCGAGCCTCCTTCGGGGGCAAATCGGAGCATCCTGCTGGCCCTCCTATGGGAGGCCGTTCACCCCCCAAAAGTCAAACTCTTCTTAGCAGCCCTCTCACCCTCGCCCCGTTAACCCTCAGTGGGCTTGCAGGGCCAAGTCCACTGGCCACGGCGATCCGACCTCAAGTCCTCCCTTGGGGAAGTTGGTGTCTCCGGTCAAATAAGTTCAGAAAATGCCAAGCGGGAGGCTTTCCTGGGAGGTTCGGCTGCACAGTCTGGGCGGTGAGACCGGCTTTTCTCGAGACTCCCCCCACCCCCACCCCCACCTTCCTGCCCCGCCCCCAGGGCCCGCAGGCTCAGCCTCCAGCAGCAGCGGGTGGCAACGCTGCCCGGAACCGCTCAGGCCCCACGCCCCACGCTGCCCCCCCAGGATCCTGCTTTGGGGGCTTCGTGAGCCCAAAGGCAAGACCCACCACGTACTCCTGGAATGCCAGGTCTCCTTACAGCCGCCCCGCCCTTCGGAACCTGAGTCCTGGAACCCGGTTTGTCTTGGACCCACGTCTCCCTAGCCAGGGCTTCCATGAGCACACACAGGTGTCTGCAGGCAAAGGGGAGCCCCCAGGCGAAGCCAAGCCCCCCACCACCACCACCAGGCCGTGGAGCCAACGCGAGCACTGCCTGCCCCTCCTGCGAGGCCACGCCGGGCGCCTTCCGCCCAGAGATGAGTTGGGGTTTTTTTAAATATATTTCTTTATTGATTTCAGAGGAAGGGAGAAGGAGAGAGAGATGGAAACATCAATGATGAGAGAGAATCATTGATTGGCTGCCTCCTGCACGCCCCCTACTGGGGACCAAGCCCGCAACCCAGGCATGTGCCCTTGGTCGGAATCAAACCTGGGACCCCTCAGTCCCCAGGCTGACGCTCTATCCACTGAGCCAAGTCAGCTAAGGCCAGATATGAGTTTTATGAGACCCCCACCCCGGCCTCCCCTGACATTCATTCCTTCCAAGTTGTTTTTCCATCCAATGGCTCCAAAGTGTTTGCTGGGAAGCTGAATCATGACCTGATGCCAGGAGCAGCCGCGTGGGACTCCTGGGGAAGGGGCGGGGACGGGTGGTGGCTGGGAGGGGGCTCATTAACACTCACTTCTTAAATCAGCAAGGCCTTCTAGCGCACATTTAGAAATAGCCCCTCCTGGTTCCTGAAGTAGCAGTCCTCGCCCCCCATAAACACAGACTCCCATAACCCGTCCCCTCCCTAGACTCACGGGGTCAAGCAGGCTCCGTGTTTAGGCCGAACCCCTGAGCATCCGTGCACTTAACGAGGTTGACCTTGACAAGCAAGGGCTGGGAGAAGCCGCAGCATGTCCTGACGGGGGACGGCCTGGGCGGCCACCGGCCAGAAACAACCAGGCGCGTCTCAGAGGCGTTCGGAGGAGTCCGCAGCCTCCGGGCTCCCAGGGAGCCAACCGTCCTGACTGCCTGGGACTGTCCTGCTTTCCGTGCTGCAAGCCCCCTGCCCGGGCCACCTCTCAGGCCCCAGCCCCAGGGCGCTGTCACCTCCCCACGGAACCCACGGTGGGCCGAGGCCGTCGGAGAAGTTCCCGGGGAGGAGAACGCACTGATGACACCGAGACCCACCCCGGCCTCCCCTGACGTCAGGCCTGCTGAGTGGAGGAAAACTGCGTCTTAGGGAGGAGATAATCACGGACGGTGCTAGCCAGGCCGGGCCTAGAATGTCCATCCCTTGCAGCCGGTTTCCCTGCGTAGAAACGAACGGCAGCTGCTTCGCTGGGTTGCTGCGGGGAATGAGTGAGCCGGCAGCCGTGCCCGAGCTGGCAGGCGCCAGGCCCCTGAACAGGCACCGTGGTGTCGGCTCTGTTGGTGCCAGGGCATCAGGCAGGTTGGGCAGCAGCTCTGCCCGCACATCAGACCCCCTCCTCTGTGGGCCCCACTCCTCCCCGCTGTGACCGAGGACAGCAGAGGGATTGGGGGGCTCCCAGCCCTGACCCAGCACCCACACGGAGCGCGCCTGCCAAGTGCAGGGAAGACCCTAAAGAAAGCAGCCTTGCAGCCAGAAGCTGGGGCCAATCAGCAGACCGTTTGTGTGAGAAAACCAGGTCCTAAGCAAACGGTCATTTACAATGTTAGAAACAGCCCCTCCTGGTTCCTGAAGTAGCAGTCATCGCCCCCCATTAATACCCAGACTCCCATAAACCAGTCCTCCTCCCTGGACTGGGGGCGGGGGGTAGCCCCACCCCCCACCAGACCACAGCCGTCCTCTGGGCACCTCGTCGCTTTGTTGTTACCTGGCTTGTTTGTTCACCAGGGCAGAGCCCAGGTCTGCCTCCCATAGTGCGGAGACATTGACGCCCTCTATGAATGTTTAAATCCCGGCAGGCATGGCTCAGTGGATGAGCATCGTCCTATGAACCAGGTCACTGTTCCATCCTCGGGCGGGGCACATGCCCAGGTTGTGGGCTTGATCCCCAGTAGGGGGCGTGCAGGAGGCAGCCCATCAATAATTCTCTCTCATCATTGATGTTTCTCTCTCTCTCTCTCTCTCTCTCTCTCTCTCCCTTCCTCTCTGAAATCAGTTAAAATGCATTTTTAAAAATCTATCCTATATAATAAATGCATAGTATGCAAATTGTCCCCTCAACTGGGAGTTCATCTGGGAGTTTGACCAGGGGGCAGAGCTGGCCGGCAGCTGGCAGCCACTAGGGACTGATAGGCAGCCCTATTAGTGCATGAATTTCGTGCACTGGGCCTCTAGTCCTATATAATAAAAGGCTACTATGCTAACTGTCCCCTTGACCTGGAGTTCAACCAGGAGTTTGGGCCAGCCAGCCAACCGCCCGCAGCCCCTCCCCACAGCCGGCTCCACCCAAAGTTGGCCCCCACCCACCCTGATCAGGGCCCCAATCAGGGCAGGCCGGCCAGACCCCACCTGTGCACGAATTCGTGCACCGGGCCTCTAGTCTATATAAAAGGCTGGGTGACCATCTCATCATCCAACCAGCCGGTACGTGCCGGGAGCCAGCCCCGCCGGTCCAGGGGCTCCCAAAGGTGTGGACGGAGTCGGCGAAGAATGTTTTACACAGAGACAACGTTCAGAACTCTCTAGCTTTCCTTAGTCTCTGTGGATCTTCCCTGTGCCTGGCTGAGGCCACAGAGAAAGATGCCAAGGCAAGCTGAGCCTTTATTTTATAGTGAGAGGTAAACAAGGTAGTGGTTTCTATAGTTACACAGTTCTTGTGAGTTTCACTTATTTTGGCCACTTCCTGCACTTCCCTCAGCCCATTAGCTTCCCAGATAAGAGCTAGAGAGCCTCAGAAGGTCAAGTCTAATTATGCTAAGAGGACTGTGCCCTCTAAGCTGGGAATTGTTTGTGACTTTGCCAACAGGTCAGTCCAAGGCTTAACCCTATATCAGCTCCCCACAAGTACATACAACATGCACTGACCACCAAGGGGCAGGAGCTGCCAAGCTACAGAACCAGAGAGGAGGGAGCCCAATATTAAAATATTTATTCTAATTAATTTCCTTTGAATGTGCCCAAATTCATGCACCAGGCCACTAGTAAATAAATAAAATATAAAAAATAAATAAATAAATAAAATATATTAATTGTCATGCCAACTGCCTATGGAAACTCGGCTTCCGTGGCAGAAATACATGCACCAAGATGACATTTAACTGTTTCCTCTCTCTCCTATCCTCCGCCCCCTTAGGACCCCTGCGGGCGCCTGAGTGAGCGCAGCCCCTGCCCGGCGGGGCCATGGCGAGCATGGCCGTGCAGCTGCTGGGCTTCCTGCTCAGCTTCCTGGGCATGGTGGGCACGCTCATCACCACCATCCTGCCGCACTGGCGCCGGACAGCACACGTGGGCACCAACATCCTGACGGCCGTGTCCTACCTGAAGGGGCTGTGGATGGAGTGTGTGTGGCACAGCACGGGCATCTACCAGTGCCAGATCTACCGCTCGCTGCTGGCGCTGCCCCAGGACCTGCAGGCGGCCCGCGCGCTCATGGTCATCTCCTGCCTGCTGGCGGGCGCGGCCTGCGCCTGCGCCGTGGTGGGCCTGAAGTGCACGCGCTGCGCCAAGGGCACGCCGACCAAGGCCACGTGCGCCGTGCTGGGCGGCGCGCTCTTCATCCTGGCCGGCCTGCTCTGCATGGTGGCCGTGGCCTGGACCACCCACGACGTGGTGCAGAACTTCTACAACCCGCTGCTGCCCAGCAGCATGAAGTTCGAGATCGGGCAGGCCCTGTACCTCGGCTTCATCTCCTCGTCCCTGGCGCTCATCGGCGGCACCCTGCTCTGCCTGTCCTGCCTGGACGAGGCCCCCTCCAGGCCCTACCCGGCCCCGCCCCGGGCCGCCACGGCCACGGCGCCCTCCTACCGGCCGCCCGCCGCCTACAAGGACAACCGGGCGCCCTCGGTCACCTCGGCCTCGCACAGCGGGTACCGGCTCAACGACTACGTGTGAGACCCCAGGGCCTGCGCCTCCCTGAGCCGGGGGGGCCCGGCACCCAGGACCCGGGCACTAAGTTTACGTCTGGGCTGCTTCTGTGCCCAAAGGCAGCATGTGGGCGTGATGGGCTGGGAACCCGGGAGGAGAAACGCTGTTATACCAAAGACTCCAGAAGTCCTCCTGGCTTTGTATTTATTCCATGTATTTATGTGGGTGACGTGAAGGCAGCTGAGGCAAGAGAACCGTGGGGGTTGGTCTGTGGATTTGTCTGCAGGACGGGAATAAACCTGTTGGCTGTGGTTGTTTCTGAAACGCATAGTCTCCGCTTCTGTTCGCGGAGGCGCCGGGCGCTCTGTGGGGCTCCGCCTCGGAAAGCCCTGAAATCGCCCAGGAGAGGCAGGGCCACGCCTGGCAGGAGCATCACAGGAGCCCGGGCGTCTTCATCCAAAACACGCCCGGCCGGTGTGGCTCAGTAGCTGAGCGTCAACCCATGTGCCAAGAGGTCAGGGCACAGGCCCGGGTTCGGGCTCGGTCCCCAGCTGGGGGCATGCGGGAGGTAGCCGATCCATGTTGATGTTTCTCTCTCTCTCTCCCTCTCACTCTTCTCTCTCTAAAATCAATAGAAAACATTAATTTTAAAAAAAATGCTCAAGCAACACCCATCCCAACAGGTGCCGAGTCCTGGCTTAGCCCGCGGCCGCAGGCAGCACGGGCGTCCTGGGGTGGAGACACGCGCCCTAAGTCACCAAGTAAAGACAGTCCCCGAGCAGCGGGCCCTCCAGGCCGGGGGCAGGTCAGAGGGGAATGAGCCGTGCAGGTGGCCTGGCCCTCGGGCGCTGGTGAGGAGCCGTGAGGAGCGCTCGCACTCCCAGGCGCCACAGGGTGTCACAGGCTGCCCGTCAGCACAGGCACCAGGGCTGCTGACTGTCCTGTTAGCAGGAGGACCGCTGGGAGGGCAGGTGAGGTCTGGCTGCTTTAAGACCTGAGGATGCCTGCTGGCCGTGACCTAGCTCACATGTCAAAGCTGTAAATGCTCTCACACACACACATGCACACACACTCTCATGCTCACACACGCACACACACACTCCTCTTATGCACACACACACGCACACATGCACACACATACCTTCTCATGCTCACACACACACACTCTCTCTCATGCTCACACACGCACACACACATTCCTCTTATGCACACACACACGCACACATGCACACACATACCTTCTCATGCTCACACACACACTCTTTCTCATGCTCACACACGCACTCGCATGCACATACTCTCATGCTCACACACACACTCATGCACATACACTCTCTCATGCACACGCACACGCACAGTCTCTCATGAACACACACATGCACACACACGCTCACACACACACTCTCTCATGCACACACACTCTCATGCTCACACACTCTCATGCACACACACACTCATGCACATACGCTCTCTCTCTCATACACACACGCTCTCTCTCTCATACACACACGCTCTCTCATGCACACACACTCTCATGCACACACACTCTCTCTCATGCACACGCACACATGCACACTCTCTCATGCTCACACACTCTCATGCACACACTCTCTCTCATGCGCACACACACGCTCACATGCCCGTGATGTGCCCTGAGGGTGCATGTATGTGCTCTGCAGCTTCGCCCAGGAAAGCTCAGCTCCTTCCTGAAGACGGAAGAAACCTGGGCCCCTTGATCAGCAGGGCCCCTGCCCTCCTGTGCCGGGTGAACAGTGACCAACCTGGAGGGCTGCTGCTGGGCACTCGCAGTCGGACCACCTGGCTGCCCTGGGGAAAGGAGTGACAGGTCCCCAGCAGCTCCCTGTGGCCAGGGACCCTGGGCTGGGGGTCAGCCGGGAGCCTCCCTGTCACTGCATGGTCAGAGGAGGGCGAGGGCCTGGAGGGACCTGCTCAACCAAGGCCAAGAGCCAAGGCCAACCATGGCACCTTCTTCTGCAGGAAACACCGACTGTAGACAAATGTGACCAGAAGTGGCAGTGCTCTGTGCATGGCGGCCACGGATGGGGGGGGTGGGGGGCGGGACAAGCAGAGGAAGCCCCGGGGAATGACAAGTAAATCAGCTTTAACTACGATTCTAGGATTTAAAAAAGCTGCCCATGCCCCACACTTCCTATGGTTTCCTCACCCGTTTCTTACCTTAGAGGAGACCTGAGTGTGTGAGTGTGTAACTGTGAGTGAGTGTGTGAGTGTGTGACTGTGAGTGTGTGAGTGAGTGTGTGTGTGTGTGTGTGTGTGTGACTGTGAGTGTGAGTGTGTGTGTGTGTGAGAAAGAGAGAGAGAGAGAGAGAGAGAGAGAGCGCTAAAATCTGAGGTCCTATATATTTGAAGCCATTTCTTGATTCAAAAAGCACAAAGCCAATTACTGGGCAACTATCCAAAGGAAAACACAGACATTTCATTCTAGTAAATGATTTTAAAATACTACCAACTTGCTTTTGCAGGTGTGTGGGGCAGGGGAAGGGCATTAGCAAACAGCCCATTTCCTGCCCAGGGAAAGGCCCGATGAGGTCGCCCCATAAATCTGGAGGGGCGAGCAGCCCCCGGGGGCAGATCACTGTGTCCTCCTCACCCCTCTGGCTCTGCAGCTTTGCCCCAGGAAAGCTCAGCACAGCACACACTTCCATTCCTTCCTCCCAGCTCCCCGCCTGGCACCCCTGCTGGGCAAATGATTGACAGCTGGAGCTCTCTGCCCACCAGGCAGTCCACAGGTTCCTGCTCCCCCACCCGCACCCCAGCATCCACTGCTGCCTTTTGTCAGTCATCCCAGGCGTTTTTCCAAAATAAAGCATTTGCCTGCGTTTCCCACCCAGCATAACCAACAGCGAGAAGGCAGGACTCAAGACTAGGAAAGCAGCAGGGTTTGGCTTGAGTGGCTTGGACAGGTGCCTCCCTCGGAGCACACCTGGGACCTTGCTGGGCACGGACAGACAGACAGACAGACAGAAGGCAGCAGGCGGCTGGCACCAGGACAGGGAAGAGGTGGTGGGGATGGGAGCGCAGGGCCACACCTGGGATCCTAGCACCCGGACAGGACCTGGTCCCAGCCCTCCCCTCAGATGACCCTCAGAGGGAGGGCTCACCTCCTCTCCATCCCTCACTCCACAGACTCTTCTGCTGGGAAGTTCAACATTCACGTCTGAGCTTCTCCGTAAGGCCAGGCAGGAGAATGTCGACGGCTTCGTTTCTCTAAAATCGAATCTGGTGCCCTCACGGTGTTGCTCAGGGGACAGAGTGTCAGCCGTGGACTGGAGGGATCTGGGTTAGATTCCGGTCAAGGTTACGTACCTTGATTGCAGGCTCCATCCCCAGGCCTGGTGAGGGGGCATACGGGAAGCAACCAATCAACGTGTCTCTCACATCGATGTTTCTCTCTCTGTGTCACTCCACCTCCCTTCCACTCTCTCTCAAAATTAGTGGGAAAATATCCTCGGGTGAAGATTAACCAAAAAATTTAAATAAAATAGAATCTGGTGCTGATTGAAACCACAATGAGGTACCGACACATGTCCACTAAGATGGCTAAAATGTGAAAGACTGACGGTATCAAGTGCTGACAAGGAGGTGAGGCAACTACAAGTATTACTTCCAGGAAGAAGGGTGTAAACTGGTGCCATCATGTTGGTAATGGGGAGGGATACTGGGGGCGACTGGGTGCTGGTAAAGTTCCCTCTCTTGACTTGGGTGGTAGTTACACAGCGCTATTCAGTCTATAATCATTTATCCCGACAGACTCTAATAACTGGGGTATTTGGGTTTGTTTTCCTTGTAAGTCACCCTTTACAAGTGTCTCTTCCCCCCTAGATTGTGAACCTTCCTGTCCGAGTCACTCTCATTCCCATGGCCTTGCACTCAGCAGCTCAACCAGTGGCCTGTGGTTTACAAAAGGCACCACCACGAATTCCCTTCAGACATGCAACTCCTCACGTACTGTACAGATGACTTAGTTTATGGAGTTTAACCCAGGAGCACAGAGCTCCCCAGGGCCACAGCTGCATGGAAAAGCCAGGCCTCCTGGCACCCGGGGTCCCCACTATGGGAAACAGGCCGGGGCCTTGGCGAAAGCTGAAAGGGAGGCGACAGGGCAGGGCGCGCATTCCGTCCGGTGCACAGAGCCCACCCCTGCTCCCGAGTGCAGTTCACCTCGTCTCACCAGGAAAGTCAGTGACAGAGAGAAACATTCCCCAAGGGCCCGCGTGTGGCAGAGTTATGGTCAGTGCTCTCGTTGTCCTTCGCTAGTTGTTGATAGGAAGGAGGGGAAGAGAGCAACGGGGAGGCCAGACATGTGGGCACGGCCATCGGGGCGGCTTCACCGGGAAGCTGTACCTTCACTCTCCCAGGAACCACCGTCCGCTCCCTGCAGATCGCTGGGGGGAGGGCCCGGACAAAGGGGAAGATGGGTGCACGCGCAGTGACGTTGGGGTGACGTCGGGAAGGTGCGTCCTGTCCATCTAGCCTGGAACAAAGGTAACTGGCCCGAGGGTGGAGCCAATGAAGCCCATGGAAATGTGGGAACACATCCTCCCAGACAAAGGGGTTTCCGCCCTCTGGTTCCTCTTCCTTGGCTCCTGCTTCCTTGCCCCGGCCCTGTGCTAGCCGGCCATGCAGACGCCACACGCAAAGGTCTGCCGCTGGGGACACGGCCAAGCCAGCCAGGCACCGGGCGGACTGAGCACACGGGAGCAGAGTGGGGGAGACACGGCTGGACTCCTTCCCAGGCAGGCGGAGGGAGAGGGGACCTGGGACACTCAGGGGCTTAACTCCACAGAAACTTCCCATGACACCTCGTCTTCCCGTGGAGGCCTCCAGAAATTCCCACTCCAGTGGCACCCCAAGAAGCCCACTTCCACCTGCAGCAGGTGGGGACACGGAGGACACCCCACCAATGACAAACGCAGGGTCCTTGGGAAGACGCTCTGACCTAGGAACCTGGGCTCCGCAGTGTCTGCACCCCCACATAAACGACAGAGTTCAGGAAACCTGCGGATTGGATGCACCTTTCTGCTGCCTTGTTATTTGAACAATTACTTGGCTGCTGCAAAAAATGGCTCATACAGAACCCCTCCGACAAAGCCCTCAGTAGACCCTGTTCCATTTTCTTCCTTCATTTGCAATTGCTAAGGAGAGTCCTAGCTGGTGTGGCCCAGTGGACAGAGCGTCAGCCTGCGGACCAAAGGGTCCCAGGATTGATTCCGGTCAAAAGGTTGCAGGCTCTTCCCCGGCCTGGGCTCTGGTCAGGGCGCATGCAAGAAGCAACCG